GAAAATGTGTTTCGCTACACCTGCCATTACGCGGTGATGAAGGCCGCCATCATAGCCAACACACCACTCAAGATGGCATAGTTGGCACCACCGATCGGGGTCGAAGCGGCATTACTCTTCTTCGACTGCGTGCCGTCTGGCTTGAGAACGGCGGTACTGCCTAATTGGAAACCAATGTTGGCCACCACAGCTTGGCTGTCCCGGACAGGAACAGAGATTCTACCGTTGCCATCGGCTGTGGTAGTTGTGACTGTGTTCTCAGTAACGGATGACGCGCCAGTGGTGTCGTCGTAGCTCATGCCGTTCCATGTGACGCCTGTCTGTGAGTCTGCGCCAGGGGCTGTGAGGTAAGAGACGTATACTTCTTTGTTGGCGTTTGCAGAGCCGAGGTTGAGGTTGAAGGTGAAGCTACCCTTGTCCGATGAAGAGGCATTGACTTGCTTCGCGTTGATCATGGTGACGGCTTGAAGCTTATCATTTGCGTAGGCTGCGTATGCACGGATACGGCCGTCGTACGCGGCACCTACGTTGCTTGTAGAAAGAGCAGCAATCTGTGTGGTTCCGTTGCCGTTGCCAACAATCTGCGCGACGGCGGCATGGGCGTAGTACTGCGGTCGTACGAATGTGCTCTGACGGCCATAGATAGGGATAGGCGCCCAGGCACTGGCATTGGAGTTATCGGTCATGTGCATCTGGACCGAGGAGATGCCAATGGATGCTGCATAGAGGAAGAAGTTGAGGGTCCAGAGAGAAGCACCAAAAGCGTCACTCACACCAGGCATGCCTATGGGACCAACGGAGCTCATCTCACGCAAGACGTAGGGGTGCTTTGTGTTGAGGGCAATTCCGACCTGCTTCTCCCAGTATTTGAATTGTGTGTTAGTAGCATCGAGATCCATGAGATCGTCGAGGGTGAGGGGGGTTGGGGTAACTCCGATGACTACTTGATGTTAGCACAGTACAAGAGAGCGGACTGATGGAGATATCGCATACAGTAGAAGTAGTCGTGCTGGTTCCAGGTGGCCAGGAAGTTATCACCGTTCCTGCCCTCCATAATGCCATCATCCACAAGCTGCGCAATCTCAAACGTGGTTCCGATGGTGGAGGCGGTCGCAGGAGCCTCGAAGAAGGAAGACGGTAGGCCAGCAGCCTTGAGCACGCGCTCGTAGACGACCTCGCAGCGGTCTAACCATTGGCTTGTGTATGTCTGTCCATCCCAAGGCGCAGAGCGGAAAGAGTTCTGTAGCCACAAATCGGGCTCGTTGCCAACCTCAAACGAGTATAGTTTGACGTTGTTTATGCCATCGACGGCGGCCTGAGCCAATGCAGCAATCTTGTCTTGGTAGTCGTCGTCCATGTATGCCATGTTCAGTCCGAAAGTCACGGGAGTGTCCTTGGGGAAGCGGTCGAGCGCTTTAAAGTAGTTGGGTCCAATGATCATAGAATCAGCGGCAATGGCGCCCTGTGCCGTCGAGTCTTCGTTTGAAATCCAGGCATATTTTTCGTTGCTCGACTCAAACACCATGTAGTCCTGCGTGTTTCCTCCTAACCGGATATGCGGCGGCGCGCCCGAGTAATCTGCGAGATTCTGTAGCAGCTTGACGGAGAATTGGTTCGTTTCCTCCTTGCCAGTAAAGGAAAAGAGGTTCGAGGGCTCAATGCCGAAGCCAGCATACGAGGGGTCGAGGTAGTCGGAGGCGCCATCGGGCGGGCTGTTCCCTAGCGATATGGAGATGGACTGGGCGAGGGCAAGGCGCAGGGCGGGTAACGACAGTATGGCTAGACTGCTGGCGGATAACGAGGGGAACATGGCTGCTGATAGGAGCCGTCCGGACGCAAGCGAGTGCAGACAGTCGAAGAAGAAAACAAGAACAGCGGAAAGTGAAGTCAAGACTAGCAATCAGTAAAAGCGAGCGCAGGGGAGGTTATCACAGGAAACGGAGAGCGAGGGACATGCAGCCAGGGTCGATGATGAATGGACGCTTGCAGGACGACCGGGGTTCAAGGAAGTGTCAACACTTTCAGACATGCGTCACTAAATGGGCCAAAAGTGGCGCCGGTCCGGGCGATGGCAGAGACGACGCGCCAGACTCAACAGCACATGACATCACGAGCCGCCATGCTTCCGGACGCTGCGACACCAAGCAAACCGGTCTGAGACGCGCGACCTCTGACAGCAGGTGGGCCGCTGAATATCACATCCCACACTGCTGCCCTCACCCATCCAGCAGCGTTGCGCGTTGCACTGGAAAAAAAGAGGATAAACGCGTCAGCTACTGCCGACAACACTCCGTGTTCCAATTATGGTGGCTGCCTCAGATCTGCACCCACGCCAATCTGAGCGGCTACCAAACCCTTAGCCACAATGATCCGCGGCAGGAGGCTCAATAAGCCTTGTTTCGCCATGGCCCCGAATCCGCATCATCGTCCGTTCCTCGATCCTGTGCCGTCTTACCCTCGCACCAGGCCTCGTCATGGGCCCTTGAGCGCCGTGCATCTTCGCGGCTCCTTGACCACCGTGGAGCGCGCGGTACGCCTCCTACGCACTGAGGGCCCTGACGCACAGCGTCTGGATAATCGCAATTCAATATTCTCTCCCGCCCGCCCGTCCTGCCTACACTACCCAACCCCTGCTCCCGTTCGCTGCGTCCACATTGGCCCGTTGACAAGACCGCATGCAGGCTACTGGGAGCTTGATTTATTGCCCAGCCTCTTCCAGCTCTCCACCCCAGCCCCTTCGTAACACTCGTAGCTGCTTTCACTCCCGCCTACCTTTTGATGATGCAAAGGGGAAAACTTTCTTTGACAGCACGTTTGCTAGCCTCAAAGTTTGACGTGACTAGCACCGCCTGCCATCATCTAGCTTTCTGCACCTATAATAGCACCAGGTCTCGAACACGACCACCGGGCATTCTCGTCCGCCCTTGTCCACGATGCCTTGGCTGCCGTCTGATGCCGAAACCCTGACTTCAAACAAGAGCTGAAGAACTCGAGTGCATACTCGGTGTACATCTTGCAGGAGGCAAAACGGATGTCGCGGCCTTTGTAAAGGTAAGCTTACACCATTACGGTACATGTACAACACATGATGTTCAGAGAGGCGTCGCTTGCAAAGACACGGCCAAAACTCCCCGTATTAGGCACTATCTGATCCGCCATTTGCCTACTACTAAAATACAGCTCTTACTACCGCATGACTATGATGCGCATCTGATTCAGCACAATCGAGCTACGTCCATCTGATCAAGAAACTTGCTTGTAGAGAATTTTGTCCAATATGTCAATGCCGTAGTTCCGACATGGCATTGATTGTATGACGTATAGCTTGGTGGAGAGCACCGACAGACGAAAGTATATCGTGGGCCAATCCAATGCAGGGAAAGCATGCTATACAGACGTCGTATTGCTCCTTGTCCGCTGATGGGTATACATTTTTGCTTATTGTGATCTGCTGTAGAACCAGCCCGTAATCTCTAATGGGGGTAGTATCATTACGGGCGACACTTTTCCCGAATTCGATCTTACAGCGCGGCAGTGCTCAGCTCTACACACACACACACACACACACACACCCCTTCTCACCCCACTCACACACACACACACACACACCCCTTCTCACCCCACTCACAGCTTCTACTTCTTACAACTTGCCCATCATCAAGTTTCCAATCATCTCCCGTCCAGTGACCACAGTGGTCCTCCAGAGTGTCGGGAAGTCCAATGTACTCGAGAACGCTACGATTCTGTTAGCCATGCACTCTCCAAGTACTGTCTTCATCTCCATAACATAACAGGATAGAAAGACGGTAAAAGAGTCGACAAACTTACTGTCGGCGTACCCAAACCCAAGCATAGGCGGAATCCATCCCCTCGCATACTCCAACGCAAAGCACCCACTATCCATCTTATACTGCTTAACATCGCCCCTGGTAAGATGATGCACACTTCCCTGAGGGTATACCTCGGCCTCGTAAATGCCCTTTCCAGGCCTGTAAGCCAGCTGCTCGCCCTTCAAGATGTGAAAGTAGTCATCCGCCGTATGCCGACCCGTATGACCCTCGGTTCCAATCGCCGTTCCAAAGACAATCAGATACTCAGTAATAGACGCATGGATAATGTACATGGCGCCCATGGCACCACCCGCATTGTTAAAGATCCATTCTTCGTCCAGGTTGATGTGGGGACCGTGGGCTGCAGAGAGGGTAGATACAATATGGGACACGACAGAAGCCGTGTCGTTTCCATGGAGGGAAATGGCTTCCTGGCTGAGACTGTGAAGTTGAGAAGGAGTGAAGATGTAGAACTTCTCAAGGTGCGAGTCCAGGCTGTACATGAGTGTTGTGAGGACGCCAAGGATGGCGCCGAGCGCGAGGAGAATACGCATCTTGGCTTGGTGCTGCCTCCGGTAAGGAATGTATAAGGTGAGGAAGAAGCCGACCGGATTCGATTATGAACCTTTTGCGAAGAAGGGTGATGTTTGTTTTTTTGTTTCCGTTGCGCTGCAGTTTATGAAGATCGTGAGGATTTTCTTCATTATCAGAACGCACGTGCCAGCCGGAATAGGAGAAGTCCGGGACCCCGGATCGTCAGCTCATGTGGAAGATGGCCTGTTGTCTGCTATGAGGATACCCGTGTTCCGGGTGGAAAGGAGCAATCTTGGCCCATCTAATAAACGGTGGTTATACTGTGCAGTCAGTTGCGTATTTTAGTCATCTACTTTGCGGACAGGAAGAAAAGAGTGAAGATAAATGGGTATAGATTTTACAAATCAAAGCTGCCTACATCATTGAGAGTATTACCTCCTCTTCCATCCCCACCATTACTCTTGGGTGAATATTTGAAAAATGCGATATATGTTATCTCCGAGTCAGAATCTTTTCCCGTCCCTGAAAACGCCATAAACCATGCAGAAGGTCGTAAATATCATGCTAGACGCGATTACACACGAACAATATGTCCAAACACCATATGCACATTAAGAAGTGTCGTCCCTGTAGACATCACCAGCCTCCGATGAAGGTAATGAAGCCATCCACCATGTCAATCCAATCCTGGCCGTTCAGTGTTCCCGCTTTTCTCTTCACCCAGAGCACCTCCACCATCTTGCCCAGATGAGCTCTTGCTTGCTCACCTGCCTCTCTCGTGCCGTCATTCCGCACCAACTGCACCCTGCCACCAGCAAACTTTTCACTGAGATCAATCTTGAAACTGGCGTCACCGTCCGGTGGGCAATACAGTTCCTCTCGTGTCGTCGCTGGCCCAATAACGCCCGGAGCAAGCTGCACAAGGTGTCCATGGATCAATACACTCTGTGTATGACTCCTTCTGGGCTTGAACAGCGAGCCACGCACCGAGAAGCTGACCAGCCTTAGCAGCCCTGCGCCGTCCCCCAGGCGGATGATCCAGTCTTGAAAGGCCTCGTACATCATCTTGAACTCGACTTTGATGACCCACAGATTGTAGCTGTAGAAGATGGCGAGAGCTTCGGAGCGGACGAGGCGGGATACCGAGGCGAGAGCGTGCTGCATCTGGCCGTCAAAGGTGGAGATGCAGTATACGAGGGGTTTGTCAATGACGAGGTTCTCACAATTGCGGTAGATCTGATGGCGGATTTCTGGTGGCAGTGTAACGAAGGTGGGTGGTGCGGGCGTCATGGTCATGTCATTGGTAGAGAGTGTATCGATATCATGGACTGCTGTGGCCTGAATATCTTCCATATGAATAATCTCTGCCTTTTCTTGGTGCAGGGCAATGTGTGCGGCCCAATCCTTGTGCACATCGTTGGGCCCATGGAGCTGGATGCGGTCGAGGCTGTTGTTTCTAGAATGGGACGGGGAAAGCGCGTAGTCGTCCATGTGCTCATCGTCGTCGGGTCTTTCCTCGGCATACAGCTGCAGACCTTCCAAACGCGTGGCATCGGGCAGAGTCGATACGCCGTACTGTTGCGAGTGCTCGGGAGTTGACGGAAACGAAGTGGCCTGGCTCTCGAAGCCGTGGCAGTCGCTGTGCTCGCTCCCATCTCCCAGCAAGTCGGCGTCGTCCGAGTCCGTGTCTGTATCGGAGCCTATGTCTATGTCCACGTTGAGTCTGTATCTCGGCATCTTGGGCGGCAGCTGGTGCGTGGGCGAGCTGGGCGAAGGTAGCTGGGTGGCAGATCGTTTGCTCGAAGTGCGTACAATGGTACCCTTTTGGGACATGTTGCGTCCTCTCCGCTGGCTGGCGGCGCTATCCTCGCTGCTCGTACTCAGCTCCGGCGCGCCGTCACAGTAGCCGCACGGCGTTGTTTGCACACTAGTATCAAGAGGCTGGAGTTTGGGAGAGCGCGCCTTCATGGCTTCAGCATCGTCCGGGGGCGTCTGGCCCGTGACCGAGTATCTGCGCTGGGTGACCATTGTGAGTACAGTGGAGGTGAGGCAGCGAGGGTGCCGAGACAAAACTAGGAGAGAGAGCAAGAGGGCGCGTGGTGTCGTGTTACGTGGAGTCGGTCGAGTGGCAGGCTCCAGCAAAAACCTTTCTTCTGCGCAGATGTGCTGGCAGGCTGCACGATGACCTTTTGCAGGCCCTCGACGCGCGCAATGGGCGAGGCTTGCGGGGTGCGTTAGGTAGCGCTGCGGATGCGGCCGAGTGGACTGAGAAGCGGATTCGCGAGTGGGGAGACACCACTTTTTTTATCGATTACGCCGCCGGGAAAGATGAAGCTAGAGAACAATCACTGAGAACACTCGCGCAGACAGTCACGCAGCCTCGACGGTGTGGGCGAAGGGGTAGAGGTATACACTCGGCACAAACGGATCAGGAGGGAGATGAAGGGCGTAGCATGTTTGGCAACTGGGCAACAATGCCGCGTTTCATGACACCGCAATTTGTCGTCAATGTTGCACTGCCCACCCAGCGATTATCATGCTCCACCGCCAATTTCTCATGTAACCAATCTTCTCATCTTCAATCTTCCATAATCGGCATGCCTCTCGAACCCATGGATGCATGCTTGGCTTATCGATGTATTGCGATCCGCGGCGCATAACGTAACGTCAGCACTTCGTCTCTTGACGGCCTTTTTGGGGAGCCTCTCGTATGGCAGGTGAAACGTGTATTGCTTATCGTGTGCTCGGTCATCTGTTAGGACCTGATCCCAACTACAAAGTCGGGTCCACGAGGGTTGGGAGCTCAACAGTCGTCCAAATCTTCATCAGCAATTCGTCACGGCCTGTTCACGCCATAGCCAATGACATCAAGTTGCAACAATCACCGCCGCTGACTTCGGCGTTATCCGATAATCTACCTAGGTCAAGTTGAACGAATGTAGCTAACAAACATAGACTCGCGCCTGTCTCAATAACGATCCTGTTGAAGGATATTGCAATCGCCCATCACACGAACCTCGTGTTCTTCCGAGACACACGCATGTTGAAATGGTGCTCTTCCTATCAGCATTCTATCATCCTTCTACGCACCACCCTTCTTCTCCATCCCGGCAGGCTCTCGAACCATAATGTCCAACGGGATGTTCCTACCACCCCTCTGCAGATTGATCCTTCTCGTCTCCTCGAAGCCAAACTTTCTGTAGATCGGAGGGTTCGTCTCGTTGCTTGACTCCAGGTAGCACGGTCTTCCCTCGCGGTCTGCAAGCTTCGTTACATGTTCAATAAGCTTGCGAGCATGACCTTTGCCGCGGCCACTGGGCTTGGTACCCAGGTAAACAAGGTACCAGGCGTCATGCTCTCGTTCACCGAGCGCGCTATGCATAGTGTCGTGGAGGAGGGGCAGGAATTCGTCGAAGAAACGGCGTTTACCTTCAGAGGAAAGACGGTAGTTGAGGCGCCACATGCCAGAGCGGAAAATCGTCAGGTAGTCGTCCATATTCTGGCCGGGCGGCATCCTACGTGCGTGAGCTCCAAACCATACCAGCTTCACAGCATCGACAACTTACCACAGTGCGACTGCTTCGAAGTCGCCTACCGTAGTCACTAGTCCCTTGAGAATGTGAGCATACGTTATGTACTCAAGTATTTCGACATGCAATGCCCATTTCTGCTCTTCGGTCCAGTGCTCACGATCAGGCACGTCAATGAAGTACCTGGCAACATCATCCTGGCCAAAGGCTTGCGCCAGACATTCAGCCGCCTGCTTGTACTCCGCAGCCGTAACGACGCGGACGCCGTCGGTGAGCGGAGGCAGAACAGTAGCGCCAGCACCATTTGTCTTTTGCTTCAGGATTCTGAAGCTAGCAGGTACCTCATTGACCCTAATGTTAGCAGACTTCAAGGTTGATGACTTGGTGTCCACTGTGTAATTACAGCTGACTGGCGTAACGGGAGAGAATGTTTTCGCCATGATTGCAGTTTTGACCGCAAGCTTCTACTAGTATTTAAGTGGGATCTGCCGCTTCGTTTGGTTATAGGGACAGTCGTGGAATTCGCCAGCGTGAGGTGTTCCCCGCAGGGCTTTGAACAGGATTCGGCGAAGGGGTGAGAGGTTAGTCACTTGAACTGCGGTATATCTAGATGAGCACCTAGAGTTCAAACAACACGACTAGATTGTGATTAGTCTGGTTGTGGCAATGGGTCGTCGTGGGCTGAGCAGGAGCCGTGACCGTCGATTGCCTGCCATGTAGTATACCTTTTCTGACTTCGCTTGGTGTTTACGTTTTAGCCGGACGATTAAGATCTCCCGTGTGAACTCTGGAGAGCTGCGATCTCGAGACGGTATCGACTCGAGATGGGTAGCGTAATGAAGTGAAGGCTTGACGTAGATCTACCGACATCAATGTAAGAGGCTAGATGAGCTCCCTCTTGATTTTAGGCTCGACAGACGTAGCGTGTCAGTCCGATGAAGTAGTTTTGCGTCGATAATATGCGCCTTGGGTGAACGATGTGCCAACCTTTATGTGTGTGTGTGTGTGTGTGTGTGGACGGTGCCTGTTGATGTACGACTGCTTAGAGTTTGGACTTTGCTTTTTGACTCGCTGGCAGCTTTGTCACAAGACCAGTGGCAGCACTGCAGTACGATGCTTGGCTGATGTCGAGCAGCAGCGGGCGTCTTATGAAGGATCGCGAACGGAGGTCGGCTGCAGCGGGTTGCGTATGGCGTGGGGGTGCAGTGGCTAGTGACGTGAGGTGAGCGCAAGCTGACGGTCGGCACCCTGCGCCAGATTTAAGGCTTGTGTGTCTTTGTGGTGGAGTCAGAGATGGGAAGTTGGGAGTTTGATATACCTCCATCCACCCTGCACGATCAGCGCACCAAGCGCCGCCAGGTGGAGGTAAAGGTCATGCTTCACAGATGTAGCTCAACACGGGAGCTATCTTCGGACCAACCACTTAGGCTGTTACGCATGCGAGTGTCCTTCTCATTCGTCCTGTGACCTTCGACTTGGTGTCGGGCCGAAGCGGCTCAACGTAGACGTTGCCCTATGGCTTGCTTGCTAATCGTTTGGCGTTACAACTCGCTGCTTGCTTGCGAACTACACTCGGCGATAGAGAGTCAAGGCAGAGAGTACCGGGCTGACATCGGACGCCTGGCGGGAAACTGTGGGGTGGAGAGGAAGGGTTGCGTTGCACACCTCGGTTGTACCTCCTCAGAACAGGTAAGCGCAAAAGTAACACCAGCATTAGGCCTACGCTCTCTGGTAGCTAATGATAAAGCAAACACCCGAAATACTTCCGCTACATGATTGTCTGCGTCTGGCTCGGATGCTACTAATCTATCAGCTGGAGATATGCGGTAGGCGGGGCTAGGCTGGATCAACTGTCACGCCATGTTATTAGAATACAATGATAGGAGAGAAGCGGACCTTGATGCGCGCACGATAAAGCCACGACGACTAGTGGGCGTGGGGAATGATTCAATGGTCAATGACTGGATTAAATGGCAGTTGTGGTATCTAAGGAGGCCGAGCCTGCATGCACGTACCGCCTCACTTTCGGGAATGGGGTAATCTAGGCCAAGGATCTGGAAGCCGGTACGCTCGAATAGCATCCAAGGAATCGATGCACATATTACGGTGCTCTTCATGTCGTTGGGAAAGCTTGTCCATGCTTTTTACATGCGACGAATCTCTGTCTCTCCCATGTACTTGTCCAAACCAGAATCGAGGTGGTCCCACCATTCGAAAAGCATGCTTTCGCAGATGAGCTTGAACCACGGCGTGAACTTGAGCGACTTGTCCTGGAACATGGTCTTGAGGTCCTCCTGGGACACCCATCTTGAATCGCGGGCCTCGTTGGGGTTGACATTCAGGTCCACATCGGCCTTCATGAATAGGATATAGTCAACTAATGGTTCGTAAGTACCCGTCCACGTATCCAAGAGTCAGTAGCACAACTTACTCTCATGCTCGCCCCACTTGCCGTCACTAGGCGACTTGTAGTGTATCCGGGTGAGGAATTTGAAATCGTCTATAGGCACTTGTTCGGCCTTGATGCCCAGTTCATGGTCCAGCTTGCGCACTGCTGCGCGACGCACGCCCTGGATCGATTCTTGCAGACCAACGCCAGTCTCTCCTGGTATGCCTAGCGGGTGCGAACAGCATGTGTTTGTCCACATGTCCGGGAATGTAATCTTCTCGGTCGCGCGCTGCTGAAGAAGGAGACGGTTCTGGGAGTCGAAGAGGAAGACGGAGAATGCACGGTGAAGGAGGCCTCGATCGATGTTCTCCATCAAATGACCTGCAACATGTCAGTACCGGCCAATTGACGAATCGCGCTGTAGCCACTCACATAGCTTCTTGGTCGCACTGCCAATCGGGATGTCGTTGTTGTCCAGCACGATGCACACCTCGTCCATCAGCCGTATCTGCTCCTCGTCGTAGCCCTGGAGCGCATTGTCGCTCGTGGCCGAGTTGTGCGATCCTCCGATGAGGGTGGTGTTTACTTCGGGGAAGAGGCGCAGCACGTTCTCCGCCGTGATCTCAGGGTGCTGAGTGACAGTCTCGATGGTGCTCATGGTTGCGAACCGACACGCGTGCAGGCGAGGGAGATTGAGGCGTAGAAAATATGTCCCGAGGAGTAGGAGGGGCGGTCGGGGGGTATTGAACAAAGCGAGCACGCGCCCCTGTCCCCCATGCAGGGTTCCGCCTCCGCGGCGGTCTGGGTCAACTGGCAGTTCGCCAGTATGCATGTGGCAATGAGCAACGCACCCCATCACCGTAACAAAAGTTTTTGTTTGCAAGCGCTTTTGTCTTATTGTCTAGTTTTGACCGTTGCTCATCATGCTATACACTTTGCCGAAGCCATTGGGCTTTTCGATCCAGGTATCAATAACTCAGAAACTTTTCCGTAACCGGAAGACATGCGAATATGCTCAAAAAGACAAACCCCTGATAACAGTAGAGAAATCAACCAACTCCAAAAGTCCAGTATATACAAAGCGTCTGGCGCTTAAGCCACAGTGGCAG